AAGGATTTTAAAACTGTAGAGGTGGAGAGAGTTTATAAAAGCATGTGGTCAGATATTTCCTTTTTTTGTTTGGCCAGTTCTAATAATATAAGCACCTCTCACACACAAATAACCGCCTGTGGAGAAGACTCCACCACATTTCCACATGGCAGAGACAGCTAGCTTAAGGTGGCAGGCAGCCATGGCAGTGGCCCAGATTGACTTGACAGTGCTGTAAAGCAGGATGCCTGGCCTGACCACTTCCTCCACATATGGCAGGGATTCGTCTCTGGGGTGCTCCCAAATAAAGAGCAGAAATGTAGTATAACATTATCACCATATGACAGCACTATTCACCAGCTGAGAGGAGCAGTATGAAGAGCTGGCATGCACCCAAAGGCCTTCATTGAGTGGCTTTATACTGCCCCCTTCTGCATCATATAAGTTAATGCACTAAGAAGAAATTGTGCTGTACCACTTCTACCTGATTTTACCCCCTTATTTCATCTTTATTTAACAAGGTTAAGGTAATTTTGAGATGAAAATCTTTTTTTAGAAGACATCAGGCCAAAAAAAGGTAACAAAGAACAAGATCACTGGTTTCCAAACTTTTCCTTAAAGGACCCCCTTTGTGTTGTTGAGTAAACTGACATATTTTATGGATATTTCATATTATATTTATTGCAGAACATAAACAGTACAGAACAACTGTACAATTAACTCAAACAGTGAATACAATAACTGCAGGAAGTTCGCAAAATGCGTGATTTAAATTAATTTTGACCAGATTATTTCCTCAGAATGTTGCATCAAAGATACATTTTTCCTGATATTTTAAGGAACTTTTTATAGCTGTTTGTCTGTTTATGAATTTTTTTTTTTTTTTTGACAAATTCAGTGTTTTCTTCTCCCTGACACTTGGCCATTGTTCTGTTTGCTCTGTGGTTGTTTAAACTGTGTGCTTTTTTTAATGCAGGACAAGTCTGTTTAGCAGAGAGTTAAGCTTTGTAAATATTGTGTTCAGGTCTTCACTGTGCCCTTATTCTGTGAGATTTTCTAAGATCTGTATTTTCAATGATAATGTAAACTTTAAAAATAGCTACTTATTTATTACTTCTTTTTAAAGTTTTCTTACACCCTTTAAAATCCAGAAGGCCTTGTGACCCCCTGGAAAACTTTGGCGAACCCAAGTGGGGGTGGCGACCCCAGGTTGGGAACCAGTGAGTTAGATGATATTATCTAACTCAGATACTTTTAAAAGGTTTCCTGCTATTTTTGTTGCCTTTAAATCTGATATGATTGTGTGTTGCTGACAAAGCGGCCTTTCTGTATATCTCCTTCTATCTGTCTCAATCTCAGGGCCAGGCAGACCTGCTGAAGCACGCTAAGAGTGAGGCACTGGACACTCTGCGTCAGATCCACTGTGCAGCTCAGTCCTGTGGTCTCAGCAAGAACGGAGCAGCTTCCCCACAGCTCCAGCACCATCCTCACCACCAGCCACAGCAGGTCCAGATGCAGCAACAGCCTCAGGCCAAGGCCCACCCACAGCCTGTACCACTGCACCTGCCCCAAATTCAGCCCCAGTCCCAAACAGCACCTCAGGCTTACCTCCATCCCCTTCCCCAACAACATCCCCAGCTACCAGCTCTTCCTCTGGTTCAAACTGTTTCGAAACCACCTGCCTATACCCAACCCCCACCCCTCCCACAGCTCCAGTTTCAGTTCCAGAGCCAGCAGCAGAGGGTAGCAGGACCTCTGGATGCCACCCCTGAGAAAGAGATGGTCAGTGGCGATCCCGCGGGATCCTGCTGACCCGCAGCCTGTGCCCACAGAGAATCCTACCCAAAGCGAGACAGAGAGCAGGAGATGGAGAAGGGCGTAGAGGAAAAGTGGGAGGCCAGTATCGAAAGGGAGATGGAGGAGGTGGCCGAGAGAATTAAGGAGATGATGATGGTGAGGAAGACTCGTCGTGTTAGGAGTGAGACACAAGTCTAAAAGAGGAGGTTTGATTTGGCCAGAGGGCTGAAGGAGAAAAGATAGAGAGACCTCACACTTTAATTACACATTTCTAAACAGAATGGAAAACTGGAAAGATGATGTTTACTTTTCTCTGCCGTGGATTTGGAAGATAATCTTCCATCTGAGCCAGAAAGTTTAGGTCTCTTCTGTCTTCTCTCTTGTGAAAAGCCAAAAGGGTAACAGCTGGTAACAAACTTCTGGTGTGTGTTTTCGCTAGGAATGCATTCAGTAGATGGATCAGTTAGATGTCTCTCTTTGGGCAGTGCTAATTACACGCCCCTCCATTATGTACTCTAGCTCTGTGGGTACAGGCTTTACCTCACATTGGCGTTTTCTGCCACAAATTTGCCTTTTCATTTCCAGAGACGTCTCAGCATGTCTTTGAGGTTTTGTTTTTTTTTATTCACACTCTTCCTCTTCCATCTTAGACGTAAAGATAAGTGCAAACCTTCACTCCTTTTGATGAGGAGGATGCCATTTTCATTTTAAGTGCACGATGTAGAGCAGCTCAACTAGGCTGAGCTCTGTAGGCGTCACTCACAGATGTCCATTTCAGCACAAATCAGGAAGCCATAGAGCCAAAATAGGAAAAGAAACTGCAGCTGTTGATGTTTTCAGTCACACTGATGCTCTTCCTGCATCCTTTGCTGGTGTCAAGCCCCCACGCATCTCCCGTGTCATTCCACAGGATTTAAGTTCTCCGGCAATTCCTGCACTCTCCCCACAGGGTCTCCTCATCTCTTCCCCAGGGGCTGTGTGTGATGTTACTGTATGTGAGTCGGTGTTTTGGTCCCCGGGGTGGAGCTAGCCCACGTCCGTAAGCTCACCAGCCAATCACAACTGGAATATTTGACCTTGCTTGTTAGAGGTCAACAGGAACATGGTACTGCTGTCAATAAAAACACAAAAGTGAATATAGATGTAAAGTGTATGTAAAATGTATGAAGGGAACATATACTATATTGCTATAATAATTCTTGCAGACACAGACATTAATGATTGATATTATAATAATTGTTGTTAATTCTATTGATATTCTGATTCTTTTTTAACATTACTTCTGCATATACAGTGATTTGACACCTGTTGGTCTGTGGTGCAGATCAGGACAACCAGTGCATGTGGGACAGGAGGGAGGGATCACTGGTTAGTGCCACAACACAAGGGTCAAACAATAACCTGACATGTGTTTCACTGCAAAGTGAGTGTGGATTCTGTAAGAGCTCCTTTAAGTGGCCCATTAAAACTGGCTTCATTGTTTATCCTGTCTCCTCTTGTTCATTTCTTTTTAATGATGTTGAAATGGGGATACATGGAAGTATAGTTTACGAGCAGTGGTGGAGGAAGTATTCATATCCTTTACTTAAGTAAAGGTACTAATACCATGCTGTAAAAAATACCCTGTTACTAGTAAAAGACCGGCATTGAATATGTTACATAAGTAAGAGTGTATAAGTACAGTCAGGAAAATGTATTTATAGGTCCTTTGTGTAGTATTTAGGGGTATATATTGGCAGAAATGAAAGAAAATACAAGTGTATTTTCTTTAGTGTATAGTCACCTGAAAATAAGAATTGTCATGTTTTCATTACCTTGGCCGTCTGTATCTACATAGGGAGCAGGTCTTCATACGCCATGTTGCACCACCATGCTTCTACTGTAGCCCAGAATGGACAAATGAAACACTGGCTCTAGATACAGTCATTAGCATTTTCACATCCGCCACCCCTCTGTGACGAGCCAAATGGTATCGTAAAACCAGATTTCTAACATGAAACTGCTTTATTCAGTGTTTTTACTGGTTTAAATCATTGGGTCTGTTTGTTTTAGAGAGGAGGAGACCTCTGTGGATAATCTGGCTCCCAGTTAAAACATTCTGAATGTCTGGATCTTAAGTCACCACATTACAAGAATGTTAAATATGCCTATTCTCTGTCAGTTGACTTTAAAGTCTGCAATAAGTACCTGTGCTAATATTTTACTGAAAAAGATTTCAGAGACTGACTGTGAGTGAAGTGACTGATTCGACTGCATTCAAACTGACATCACCAGCTCTTCAGAGCATTTTGAAAGCGGCTTTCACAGTGAACCTACAGTAAAGCAATCAATAAAGCCTTCTAAAAGCTTTATTGATTGCTTTTGATGCACTACGATGCACTGTTAATTCTCTTGATCTTCTCCTCTTATCAATAAACAAGAAGGAGGCCATTTATTTTATTATAAATGAGTTTGTCTATTTAAAGCAATGCTTCCTGTTGTCCATAAGATGGCAACAGATATTAACGTAAATTAGGATGTGAGGACCAAAAAGATGACAAACAGCAATCAGAAAGTCAATAATTGCTTTCAAGTGATTTTTGTCATTCTGTTACGTTAACCTCTGAGCGTGCCAGTATTCTACAGTTTACAGTCATGTGGGAGCACTGGAGTACCCGGTCTCCCAAAAGAATATAGCTAAAGCTTTCTATATTTTCAATTAAGATAATCCTTTCTGAAGTTTTGGGGTCCTTTTTAGCTGTGGACCTATGTGGTATATCAATACTGTTTATCACATTGGTAAATACGATGTAGGAGCAAGACAAAACTGGTCTTGATATGTCAGTATGGCGCCTTTTGTACGAGAGAATAAAGCCCATAGAATCTTATTAAGCATGACTTTTAAACGAGGTTGTCATTAGCACCGAGAAAGGGCATCCGGGCTTCTTTAAATATATATTTATGTTCTGGAGCTCGTAGGACACATCAGCTAATTGACTACCGTCCTTCACCACTCATCATAATGGTATGTCTTCATAAACTTGTGGCATGCAGCCACAAAGAAATACCTGCAGTTCATCAAAGGTCCAGAGAAGTGTCTTGGAGATGATCCGCTGAAGGAGACTAATTATTGGCAGCGAGCATGACATCAACCCCTCAAATGAGCAAAGAGCAGAATGTGTGGTTTTGTGTCATGTTTGTGGTTGGCCTGAGTGACGTCCACTGGTTTGGACGCCACAGGACAATATAAAGGACACTTGTTCTTTCCCTGGGGAGATAAGAAGATGGCTTCCCTTCATACAAGCCAGAAGATGCCGTGGGTCCCCACCAACTTACAGAAAGCTGCTGGGAAGGACATGTCTAACAGGGTAAGACAGCTTCAGCTTCATTTCTTTAACATGATGAATTTGTAGTTTTTAAAGATGCCTAAGGGTGGTTATTCATTCATGAGTTTGTTTGTGGTTTGTGGTCTTTCTCATATCCTTTGAAATCCTCACCTGGACAGAGGCAACTGACTTAAAGGTGTTTTAATACATTTGTGATGTTGATTTTTATTCAAAGTTCCAGTATTTATGTAAGAAAAAAATGTTGCATTTATTTTACTCCTGACATTGTTTCACCATGTCACTGTGATCCTAAATTCACATGGTGAAATCATAATATTGCATTTACAGGGAACTGTCGTGCATCCCTTTCTACAAAACATCTTTTCAGTCAGGGGGTCAATATGGATCATAATTCAGAGTACTAAAGACCTCATTTATTTGCCGTTACTGGGGATCCTTAATAGAGCAGCCCAGATTATTATGGTATGAATTCAAATGTAACAGATTTGTTAGCTAAACATTCATTCTGTGAGGTTATTAATGCTGTTTATGCCACATCCCTACTCTAAATATGTTATATAACTTGAAAAAAGCATGATCAGACAATTCTTGCCTCTTTAGGTGGCAGAGTGAAAATTAATCATCCACAACAGTTGTTGTGATGTGGTTTCAGACTAATGAAGACAGCTGGGGAAAAATAGATAGAAAAAAAGAATGTAAGCTCTAGAGGATGAGTTTTTTTCCTTGATAACTGTCATGTTTTTTCCCAAATGATGTACAGATTTCTCGACATTCTATCATCTGAAATGGCTTGAAAATAGAGCATATAGCTGCAGTAAATGAGACAAATCACCCAGGAGGCACATGCCATCAGACCCCCTAGGTTTGCTCTGAATATTTACAACATCTGGCTCTGCCCCTTTTTTCTATGTCATGATTGTGCTTTGTATTATTGTCGACATCTATGGATAATGGTTGCAGATGAGCCTATGTGCCATTCTGTTCTTATTTCTCTAAAAATAAACAAAAATAATTTGTTTAGTATTTTGACAAAATGCTTAGTCATGACTATGCCCATATAATCAATCAAGAACAAAAAAATGCACTCTGTTAGATGGATATGATTTTGTTTACCATGCATATGTGGAATAAATGTCAGTATGATATTACTTGAGATTCAGTAACTCTTATCCTTTATGTATGGATTATCCTAACAGTTGCTCGTGGTGATACTCTATGTATCTTTGACCAGAGGTTAGGGGTTTATTTTGTACATGAATCAATGTCAGCATCCACTTGTTGGAAATTCAGTGACTCATATTCACTGTACTTTTTTTTAACTATGAACTCTTGTATCAGTTCATTTGGGTGTAAATGAATCTCTTTTGCCCAGCAGAAAGTCCTGGTGCTGGTTTTGATGTTGCTGCTGTCTCAACTGGCCTGTGATGCTCACAGCGTGTCTGAGTGCTGCAGACAACCACCTCGCAATTGTCGCCTCCATGTGTTGCTTTGTCGCTCTGGCAGCAAAAATCTGGGGGGAACACTCACAGGAGACGCTGCTGCTGGCATTCTCACCCTGGGTAAACGGAGAGAAGATGATCGCTTGCAGAGCCGACTCCACCAGCTCCTTCAAGGCTCCAGGAACCAAGCAGCAGGGATCCTGACAATGGGCAAGAGGACTGAAGAGATGGGTAGAGAGCAGTACATAGACTGGATGACTCAGTCAAGAACCTTCACGACGCCACTGCCCGTTTTAAACTAAATACCTCATGGTATAAACAAAAGACTCTGTTAAAATCTAAGTGAAAAAATAACACCTATTTGGTTACCATTATTACACTATCTGCTCATGTAGAAATAATTTTGTGATTTTGTTTTTCATTGTGCCTTTATGAATGTGATGCTCTGTGTACTGGCTTATCAGATGACATTAGGACAATGTGTAATTTTGTAAAAAGCCTTGTGGTATAATAAAAAATCTAAAGCTGACATGTTTTTAATTATTCTTCTTAGGTGGGTTTCGAGGGTCAGAACTCAATATTTCTTACATTTTCTATGGCGAAAGTGTTCAAAATCTGTCAGCAAGCTCATATCATCGAAATATTTGATAAGATTAAAATGCAGTAATTAATTCTATTATGGTTAAAGCTTATGTTGTATTAACCATGAAATGACAATCATGTCACTTATTATAATTCTATTTTTTATACAATTTCTTTATCTAACAAAAAGGCTGCAGTTCAAATAACTTCAAAATCTTGTAGAATAACAACTTCATGACAGAGGAAATAAAATAACTTATATATATTTATATTATATTTTATGTGTCGATGCATGATTTACTGAAAAAAAAAAGAATAGTTGGTTACATCAGAACAGTTACTTAAAAAAATTAACTGTTTTGTGTGGTGCACTACGGACCATATGCAGTGGACAGCTATCATGTCTGTGTACCAGGGCGTTATTTTCTGTTTGTTTTGAGAAACTGTGACATGGATCTCAGTAGCTAGTTGGGATTAAACTTTCCTTCTAAAGAACATATAATTATTTTTCCATAATTCTGGCAGTTGCTAAAAAGTCCACTTCTAATGTTCAAATTCATTCATTCATCTTCTAACCGCTTCATCCTCTTGAGGGTCGCGGGGGGGCTGGAGCCTATCCCAGCTGACATCGGGTGAGAGGCAGGGTACACCCTGGACAGGTCACCAGACTATCGCAGGGCTGACACATAGAGACTGAAAGAACCATTCACGCTCACATTCACACCTACGGACAATTTAGAGTTATCAGTTAGCCTAGTCCCCAATCTGCATGTCTTTGGACTGCAGTGTGTGGGGTGCCCGCACACGGGGAGAACATGCAAACTCTGCATAGAAGGGCTCCCATGCCCAGGATTGAATCGGCAACCCTCTTGCTGTGAGGCGAGAGTGCTAACCACCACACCACCGCGCCGCCCTAATGTTCAAATTGTGTTATGTAAAATATTGTTTTTCCATTAACACATTAAAAGAATAGTTCATCCAACAATAATATAAATTCTATATAGTATTCACTATAGTATTGGCTATCAGGAATTTCGTAAAGACCCCTGAACAGCTAGTTCATTCCAGGCCAAACTGTCAGGTAATTTTTTTATTTCTGATGTCAGTGGTTATGGTCCTCGGCTGTGTATGGTCCATAGTCCAACCTGCTGCTTGGCCTTCACAGGCCCTTAGGAGAAGTTGTCTTTGTAGGCGTTTTCCCAGAAAGCCCTTTTAACAGAAATCCATTCCTTTTAACCCAAACCACAACTTTGTTTCTAACCTTAACCAAGAGATCCATTTCTGGCAGAAAAATTTCTCTCAACTGCCCTTCACAGCCACAGACAGCATAGAATGGAACATTGTCTGTCAGACAGCACCAATCTATGACTATTAACACTGAGGGAGTATACAAGCGCCCATCTCACTTTGGACTGATCCTCATTTTTGTTGAAATCTGATTGGTGTATTCATCTTCACCATGAAGAGTTTCTTACTTACAGTATGAATAGTGATAATCTTACTGCAATGTTCTTGCATTAAAAAGTGATCATCCATGTGTAGCAGGGTGATTCTAATAATGCTCCCTTTTACACCCACATAGCCCCTGCCAAGCCATTTTTACCTGGCCGGTCACTGCTGCTTCACAAACCCTAGACCCTGGATGTTTCACTGCTGTTTCTGTACTCATTTATTTAGTAATAACATCCAGGCTATACTGTTGCCTTGGCTGGTCACCTGCATGCAGATAAGTATCCCACGACACTTAGGTGTGTTCGTTTGCAGTGAGTGTGTATTTGTGTGAGCTCATGGCCTGAGGGGAGCACATGGTGAAGTAGAATTGGATAAAATTAGTCCAAATTAAAACCTTTTTATTTTCCTTTGTAGATTAATGATCTTTTGTTTTAATTTCAGTCGCTAGAACCAGCATAGCATATTTGAGACCACAATATTGATGTTTTAAATCTGAATATCTGCTTCTTCATTTTATTCAGTTTTATATTAAAACTACTATTTTACATACATTTTTTTAAAAAATATTTTTTGTACAATTGCGCTTGAAGCCATGTCTTGGCCTAACTTTCTTTAAATGTATCTGTGTGTTGACCTGTAGGTGACAATAGGTCTTGGGGGGAGCCACGTTAAGGGTTTAACAGTGCCTTATCCTCCAGTTGGGCGGGTCACACATGAAAGTCTTAAACAACGATCATTAATTCAGCAAGTGTAAATACAAACACTCTTTTTTTGCTGATAGATCCGTACTATCAAACACGTCAGAGCAAACTATTTTACATATATCTTTATCTTTACACACACAAAGCATCCTATTGGATAGTCTATCATCTCTATCACTATCCTCCTCACTTTTTATCATATCAGCACCATCTTGTGTTCTACTTTATTCCCACACTGTGACGGACTTACTCTCTATGAGCAAGCTGTACTAGATTGTCTCTTAATACGTCCATAGTTTCCACCTGTGTAAAGTTTTTGTGGTAAACATTATTAAATATTGAAGAAAGGAGCAGAAAAAAAGAATGTGTGGGGCAGAAAAATAGGAGCTATGAAGCAAAGATGTTGGTGCAAGATGCAGCTAAAGCTTGTCAAACTAACAGATCTTGACGTGGCCAAGAGCCAAGGTTGCTGTGGCCACTGTTAGGCCACTGATGACTGCTGGACTGCTCTGAGGTTTGAAGCTGAGATCAGGGAGGACAGTCTCCATTTGTTTGGGTTTCCTGAGGAGGTGTAAGGCTGTATACCTTAGAGACTGTTTGTGTCTGTCTCCCAATATTTGCTTTGACTTAAATGATAAGCTGCTTGTTTTTATGCCTTATTACACACACCAACACAAAGTTTTTATTTGCTCTATCTGTAGGATAGTTTTTTAGAAAATTATATATTGATAAACACTTATTATCAGAGTGTCCATCTAAGTGTGAGCATTTGTAACTATTTTAGCACTCTGACTGACTGTATATGTTGTGGTTGGCAGTAGCATACTGTACCTCAGTGTCCCAGCTCACCTAGGCTTGCCTGGCCTGGTATTGTTTTGATTCAGTGCAGTGGTGAAGTGTGAGGAAGCAGGTGCAACCTAAAGTGTCAATAAGGTCTTCAGCATCATCAGAACCTCCTTATATTGTAAAAAAATGTATTATTGTTAAAATTTTCTGCTCCCACCCTTTGTGTGCGCTTGCATGAAAGGCCTCTCCATCTCCATCTCAAAGTCACAGTGTTTGTTTCCCCCTTAATATTTGTTTCCTCCTACCTAAACTTAACCCAAACCAAGACACACCAAACCAATGTTGTAGGACAAGAGGGTCATCTCCAGTTGCCATGGCTTGGCCAAAAAGTTGCACATGAACACACCAAACCAATAGCCAATAAGCGCGTATGTTCTGCACCTTAGAGAACATATTCCTCCACACCAGCAGACGGTGATCGTCTGTGATCGTCATTCAAAAAGGAAATCCAGAAGACCTTCTTGACACTAGTTAGCCAGTAAGCACATTAACAACACAATCCAATACCGAAAAAACAGAGCGTATCTACCATGTGCCAGTGAAAATCTCATGTGCTGAGCTAAACTGCCAATCAAATTGATTGCATTTGCTGACAGGCTCTGTGCTGTGCTGTGCTGTGCTGGGGCTGATTCAAAATGCTGAATCAGTGGAAAAAAAGGCCGTCTAGCACCGATGATTAGATTATTCCTTGGAAATGCTTTGCTTATCAGTAGTTTAGCAAAATAGTTGTGTTTGTGATGAATACAAGATACTTGGATAATGCTGCACAGGAATTTTCAGAAGGTTTTTTTGGCATCTTGCAACCTTTTTGCTGTCTCTCTATTGACTCAATCTAGTACAGCTTGGTCATACAGTAGGAGTCCATCACAGTGTGGGAATAAAGTAGAACACAAGATGGTGCTGATATGATAAAAAGTGAGAAGGATAGTGATAGAGATAATAGGATGCCTTGTGCATGCTGTATAAAGGCAAAGATATGTAGAATTATTCCACCATCACGTCCGTTTGCTCTGACCTGTGTGTGGTACTGTAGCACTGATCTATCAGCACAGCAGTGTGTTTGTATTTACACATGCTGAATGAATGATTTTTGTTTAAGCCTTACATGGATAATCTCTGTGGTTCAATACTACAGTAAGAATATTACCATTCAGACTGTAGATATTCCTCAGAAAACATTTTTTCCACATCCTCTCATCCCAGTATTTAACGATTTACTTTTTATCCTACAGTGTATTTCTTTTTAAATAAAGCATAGTTTGTATTACTAAATAAAGTTTCTCTCAGATGTCATAATAACACCTACATATTTCAGATCTGCTTTTTGAATTAAACTGACCATTGTTAAGGCCTCTGCTTGTGCTCAGTGTGTTTTTGCTGAGCGGTGCTTTATTATGCTGAATGGGTTTTTTCTATCCACAATGTCAGGTAAATCATTTTCTGATCATTTTATCAGCAGTCAATCTTTTGTGATATAGGAGCATTATAGAAAAATAATAAGAAGCTGGAATTACTGTAGCTGTTGTGGAAATGCTCGTGAATTGAGTTGCTCAATCAAAATCAAATTTAGCTTTAATGGCCAAGTCAGCACGTACACAGACACGGAACTGACTTTGTGTCCTCGATGTTTATTCATAGAAATAGACTATATATAAGCCACATGAGAACTGCAGCTGAGGAACATGTTACATCAAGCAGCCATTTTGCACCGATTACTGCTTATATTTGCTTAAGTATTCTAAATCTGACAAATCAACCAGACAGTTTACAACAAAAGTGTTTTTGTAGTATGAAAACTTCTATCAATTTTAACAGGCTGTGTGTTTGACCTTTCTATGAATAAGTGTAGATAACCTAAGCATTAATGAAATGTCAGCTCCAAGTGGATGTGTGATTGTGCACTACAAATTTACTCTCCACATGAAACCTTGAGGAAAGGCAGTAATTG